ACGAAGCGTCATATCATGAACATTATATCATTATCATTGTTGCGATCACTTTTTGGTGTTTGATTAACAATGATTCCTTTCAGTTTCCTAAATGGTTCATTTCTTCTTGAGAATAGCCGTTATATCTTATCAATTACCAATTCGGTATGTATTCGAGGTATAATTCCTGAAGACGAATGATTGTTTGTCCTAATTTCGTTACTTGCTCTGACAAAGGAGTACCTGAGGTAAAGCAATGCCATATTTTTGATGGTAACGATAACAGTAAGATGTGGACTCACATTTAGTGGGATCTGTTCATGGAATAGATTCACTCTAGCTCACTGTTGTCTTGTTTGTTTTGCTTTCGTCATAGGTGTCAATCGTTTTCATCAATCTCATTATCATAACTCAAGGAATCCTTTCACTATCATTATAAGATTGTCAATGTTCTTATATCGGCTTTTATCATTGTTTATATTTCAGTTATTTTCCAATCAATTCGCCTGTTTTGATGGAAACTTGAAACGTTCACGAGATTTTACATGTATTAAGTTAATAAGATGTCACTGACCAATTTGATCCGATTCTCGATCATAATTTTGACCATATTCAGAACGTACTCAACTTTGGGTTTGTCTTTGCTTTTCAGAATTATTGGTGCCAATTTACTTAAGACGGCTTCCATATCAGATACAGATGAATCGGCATCCGAAAGGATTTGGTACATTTCTAACGCTAGTTCTTTTGGCACCTCTGAAAGTGTTCAGCTGTTACTTGCCATATTCAAATACATATTATTGCTGCTAGTATTGTTATCTTTTTTGGTTTGATATTATGATAATTAGAATGTTTATTATTACCATTATTCTGCTCATTTTTGTCATTCTTCATGTCATTCTTATCGTTATTATTGCTATTGCTCTCGTTATTCTTAAAATTTAGCGCTGACTCACTATCAGTAATATTTCATGATTAACACATGAAACGTGGTTGTAGCTGTGGAAAATGCAAATAAAACATGTTCATCAATGCAAAATCCTTGTTCAAGACATTCACGATGGTGAATACCCGAATCGAATGAGTCTTAACGAAGTCGAACCATTCTTCTCAATGACCAATTCGATCACGCCAACAAAATCAGTGACAGATAATAATAATAATAATAATAATAATAATAATAATTGTCGAACGTGCGATTAGAGAATGCGCTTGTAAAACATCACTGTAGCGAGCAATGGGAACAAGTGAATGAGAAAAGAGCAATGCGAGAATGATTTTACTGATGGCAGTATTGAGAGCGATTAGAATAATATTGAAAAGATTGAGAATTCACTTTGAGTGTGTGTGTAAATTCGATGCGGCATAGAGAAATGCATTGATAGTCGAGAAACCAAACTAATTAATGATAGGTTTTGAATTCGTACATGGATCTTTTTTCAGATTTATGGTAATTAGACTTGACCAAATTTGACTTTCAGTCCAAATTAACTGGAAGATCCTGTAATTCTGCTGTCAAGGCGGTATTCTTCTAGTTTAATTTGCTAGGCACAGGTAAGATGGAAAGTCTTGTCGCCTATGACTGATACGTCTCATTCATTGTATTAGGCAGTTCATTCGCAAGTTTCAGGTTGTTAATTGGGCAAAAAAGTTAACTGAAGGACAACTGTCTCACCTGGAAGAAATTTCAAGACGGATTTCTTCACCTCCGCTTCATCCTTTTCAATTCTTGCTAACTGTTTTGGTGTTAGCCCAATTCCGGCTTCTAACTTCTGCCCTTCTTTTGCATGCGGCTTCTGAAAATTTAATCAGATTTTTGGTTGGTTCTTGTACTTAGTTGTTTGAGTCAATACAACTATCAATCTAAGCTGACAGCTCTGGCAATCAAGCGGAGAATGTTATGTTAAGGGATCATCCAAGTTGTTTTAGCGTGTTGGAATCTGATGGTGCTATCCGAAACTATCAATGTCCACAACAACACTGCTGACATTCATTTCACTGGGACTGCGTTCCCGTTTCCCCGGGGAAATGAGTATTCAAATCATTCACCCAACTGTGTCAAGAGGAATATCCATGTCCAGATATATTTTTTATGACTTTCCAAGGAAGTTAGTTGAGTTGTCAAAAATCAATTCATCATAAATAATAGGATCCAGCAAACGGCTTACTGGAACGGCAGCTTGTTCGCTGAGTGCGAAGACTATTGTCAGGAGAATCAATTTGTTGAGCCGCAACATCATCTGCTGAAATGTTGACTAAAATCATTTATGAATAGATATCTCTGGATGATGGATAATATTCACAACGCTCATCTGAACACTGGCATAAGTCACTTTTTGAGGATGGTCACCTCTAATGACCATGAGCTGCTGATATCCATTAATATGACCACTACTAAATTCAGTTCAACGAAAATTCGAATCCAAGTCAGGACCTAATATCAACTATTCGAAATCAGGTCATCTGGCCGAACTTTGGGTGCTTACTATAGCATAAATGTTCAAATTGCGAAGGAATTTCTCAGAACGAATGAAAAATTGATGAAGTAGAACCGCATATCTATATGATTACTGAGGGGAACACTGTTTATTGAATTCAGAATATTGGAATCCAACAAGCGAATTGATATCGCCTAGCATTGTCCAGCTGATTCACTCACAGAAATGATAAGCTAACAGGACAGGCAATTCACTATTCACAGATTCTTGCACACTATCAAGCTTTTGAAGATTATATGCATCTTGTATGATTGCGAATGACTTTTCTCATCGCTGCTCGATTTTTATGGTTGAATTAGTTGAATATTCAAAACGAGAAATTCGAAAATTTTTATTGCTCGGGAGAAATTTTCGGCTAGAGCGGCAATTAAAAATTCCATTCTCAGTCGATCAAATCTGCAACGATCAAATTTGCAAATCAATTAGGTGAAGAAGCTTGTTAAGGCTGAAACGATATGAAGGTATGCTAGCCACTTATCTCATATTTTAATTTTACCTCTCATTTTCCAAATTTACCTCTTTTATTACTTCGTCAAATTCCATCTCTCAATTTTATCACCTCTTACGACACAATGAATCGAGAATAGCATAACTTTCCCGGTTGCAGTTATCATTGCAATAATGTAAAAATTCCATCACCTGGTGTTTTCCTTCATAAAAAAGAAAGTCACTGAAACACTTCAAGCAACGAAAAGTATGATGCATAAACAGATGGAGCATTTGCTGGTGTTCTGAGCATAACGGAATCTAAATTAAATCTAAATCTAGATTCATTAAAATGCATGGGACTCTCACAATTTATGCCAAAGTTTTCCTCGTTTAGTGCACTCTCTTCACGATGTATCTGCATGTGAAATTCGATGGAAGTTCACGGATGACGTCGTCGTCGCTTCGTTGAAGCAGCTGAAGCAGTTAAACTTCCATCCCATATTGAGCCTGAGAAGGTATGAAGCAGCTGAAAATAGAATTTCATTTAAAGTCTGCGTTGGTTGGAATAATTCCTTCCATTCTCAGAGTGA